CACTGTAGAAGCAGGTAAGTGTTCTATTTAGCAATCCTGTTGCTGTCAAGTTCTTACAGCAAATCATCACAAGAGACATTGTGTACAACATGCTGAGTCCTGAAGTCATTCTGCCTCAGGGGTGCCTGAAACAGTACAAATGAAACGCACAGAATGTGGGGTCACCTTGTAATTGTCAAACCTGCTAAACACTAGGAGATGCCTTATCTACACAGACTAAGACAGAATAAGATCTACGTGTGGTCACCCGTGACATGTAGTGGTAAAAACGCTAATTACATCTTCAGTATTATTTCCTTCAAGTTGTGCAATGGGTGTGGAGGGGTTAGGACAATAATTGGGGGCAAATCTCTCCAGCTGGGACACAGACCGCTGTAAAAAGAAATTGACAGAGGATTCTAATCCCTTCCTACTCTGTTCATTCGTCTGTGACCATCTGCTGTAGCATGCCCATAGTAGGCAACCATGTTCTGTAGCATGCTCATAGTAGGCAACCATGCTCCGTAGCATGCTCATAGTCTGCAACCATGCTCTGTAGCATGCTCATAGTCTGCAACCATGCTCCGTAGCATGCTCATAGTCTGCAACCATGTTCTGTAGCATGCTCATAGTCTGCAACCGTGTTCTGTAGCATGCTCATAGTCTGCAACCATGTTCCGTAGCATGCTCATAGTCTGCAACCATGTTCTGTAGCATGCTCATAGTCTGCAACCATGTTCCGTAGCATGCTCATAGTCTGCAACCATGTTCTGTAGCATGCTCATAGTCTGCAACTGTGTTCTGTAGCATGCTCATAGTCTGCAACCGTGTTCTGTAGCATGCTCATAGTCTGCAACCGTGTTCTGTAGCATGCTCATAGTCTGCAACCGTGTTCTGTAGCATGCTCATAGTCTGCAACCATGTTCTGTAGCATGCTCATAGTCTGCAACCATGTTCTGTAGCATGCTCATAGTCTGCAACTGTGTTCTGTAGCATGCTCATAGTCTGCAACCATGTTCTGTAGCATGCTCATAGTCTGCAACCATGTTCTGTTGAATGCTCATAGTCTGCAACTGTGTTCCGTAGCATGCTCATAGTCTGCAACCATGTTCCGTAGCATGCTCATAGTCTGCAACTGTGTTCTGTAGCATGCTCATAGTCTGAAACCATGTTCTGTAGCATGCTCATAGTCTGCAACCATGTTCTGTTGAATGCTCATAGTCTGCAACTGTGTTCCGTAGCATGCTCATAGTCTGCAACCATGTTCCGTAGCATGCTCATAGTCTGCAACCATGTTCTGTAGCATGCTCATAGTCTGCAACTGTGTTCTGTAGCATGCTCATAGTCTGCAACCGTGTTCTGTAGCATGCTCATAGTCTGCAACCATGTTCTTTAGCATGCACATGTTCTTTAGTTATCTTCTGTAGCATGTCTGCAGTCTCTGACAGATTTCTATAAAGTATGTTGGCTGGTTTTAAACAACAATATAATAATTTTATATGATAATATGATGGACCATGCACACATTTTAATTGACCTTCTCAACCTTCTGCACCCATGACCCTTGTATGGGTTAGATGGTTTTTCTCCCAGCTGGTAGTGAGGTGGGCCTAAGGCGTATCGAATATGCGCGTTTCGCGGTAAAAAAAACGCACCCCGAACGCGCGTTTCCGAGAGCTACTTGGCTGTATCCCAATGGAAACACGCAACAAAAACGCAGCAAAGAAGCTCCTGTACCTTTTCAGGCGTAGGCCATTTTGTAGCGCGTTCAGACGGGCTGAAATACGGCAAGGTGTGAACCATACCCATAGAAAACAATGGGATTTTCATGTTTGAGCGTTCGTAGAGCGTTGAACGCGCTACAAAACGTTCAGGTGTGAACCAGGCCTAAAAAAGCCTTCAAAGTATAATATACGTTATTAAAAAGAAAGTATTTACATGTTGCCGGTGACGTTGTATGTCTGTACTACAGTGCTGTATAGGAAGGGCTTCCTCAGGGCTGCTCAGTCTCACCATAAGCTAACTAGCTTTCCTGATGGCTCCCCTCTCAGAGCCTTATGTTTTCCATACCTGCACTGATGAGAGTGAAAAGCCGGGAAGGGCTGTATGCCGGTCTCTGTATAGAGTCGCACACAGGGGTGACGTGCATGACTTCCATCGCTGTCCTTAATGAAGAATAATCTCCTCATTTGTATTATGATGTGTAATTGTCTTCAGTTGTAAGTCATATAGTGACCTCAGGTGATGTGCGACTTATACAGTATGTTCTGTATCTATATTGTGTTTTCTAGGCCCTCCGGATAGAGGTGGAAGATGATGTGTACAAACTGGTCGACTTTTTCTTAAAGTACAAACAACACGACGAGTCTCCCCAGGTAAAGGGTCCCTTCTATATTCCAAACTCTGAAAGCAATTCGATTCCATCATTTTATCATTTCCCTCTGACACTGTTCAAGCACGGCCTGCATGAAGAATGTCGTATGGATGTATGGATTTCCTACATTTGCTCCAGCTTCTACCCACAGCCCAAAAACATAGTAAAAGTTTAAATGACTGCCAGGCTTCCCACTGACCACCAATGTAAGGAGCATTCATCACACTGACCCCCAATGTAAGGAGCATTCTCCTCACTGACCCCCAATGGAAGGAGCATTCTTCTCACTGACCCCCAATGTAAGGAGCATTCTCCTCACTGACCCCCAATGGAAGGAGCATTCTTCTCACTGACCCCCAATGTAAGGAGCATTCTCCTCACTGACCCCCAATGGAAGGAGCATTCTTCTCACTGACCCCCAATGTAAGGAGCATTCTCCTCACTGACCCCCAATGGAAGGAGCATTCTTCTCACTGACCCCCAATGTAAGGAGCATTCTCCTCACTGACCCCCAATGGAAGGAGCATTCTTCTCACTGACCCCCAATGTAAGGAGCATTCTCCTCACTGACCCCCAATGGAAGGAGCATTCTTCTCACTGACCCCCAATGTAAGGAGCATTCTCCTCACTGACCCCCAATGGAAGGAGCATTCTTCTCACTGACCCCCAATGTAAGGAGCATTCTCCTCACTGACCCCCAATGGAAGGAGCATTCTTCTCACTGACCCCCAATGTAAGGAGCATTCTCCTCACTGACCCCCAATGGAAGGAGCATTCTTCTCACTGACCCCCAATGTAAGGAGCATTCTCCTCACTGACCCCCAATGGAAGGAGCATTCTTCTCACTGACCCCCAATGTAAGGAGCATTCTCCTCACTGACCCCCAATGGAAGGAGCATTCTTCTCACTGACCCCCAATGTAAGGAGCATTCTCCTCACTGACCCCCAATGGAAGGAGCATTCTTCTCACTGACCCCCAATGTAAGGAGCATTCTCCTCACTGACCCCCAATGGAAGGAGCATTCTTCTCACTGACCCCCAATGTAAGGAGCATTCTCCTCACTGACCCCCAATGGAAGGAGCATTCTTCTCACTGACCCCCAATGTAAGGAGCATTCTCCTCACTGACCCCCAATGGAAGGAGCATTCTTCTCACTGACCCCCAATGTAAGGAGCATTCTCCTCACTGACCCCCAATGGAAGGAGCATTCTTCTCACTGACCCCCAATGTAAGGAGCATTCTCCTCACTGACCCCCAATGGAAGGAGCATTCTTCTCACTGACCCCCAATGTAAGGAGCATTCTCCTCACTGACCCCCAATGGAAGGAGCATTCTTCTCACTGACCCCCAATGTAAGGAGCATTCTCCTCACTGACCCCCAATGGAAGGAGCATTCTTCTCACTGACCCCCAATGTAAGGAGCATTCTCCTCACTGACCCCCAATGGAAGGAGCATTCTTCTCACTGACCCCCAATGTAAGGAGCATTCTCCTCACTGACCCCCAATGGAAGGAGCATTCTTCTCACTGACCCCCAATGTAAGGAGCATTCTCCTCACTGACCCCCAATGGAAGGAGCATTCTTCTCACTGACCCCCAATGTAAGGAGCATTCTCCTCACTGACCCCCAATGGAAGGAGCATTCTTCTCACTGACCCCCAATGTAAGGAGCATTCTCCTCACTGACCCCCAATGGAAGGAGCATTCTTCTCACTGACCCCCAATGTAAGGAGCATTCTCCTCACTGACCCCCAATGGAAGGAGCATTCTTCTCACTGACCCCCAATGTAAGGAGCATTCTCCTCACTGACCCCCAATGGAAGGAGCATTCTTCTCACTGACCCCCAATGTAAGGAGCATTCTCCTCACTGACCCCCAATGGAAGGAGCATTCTTCTCACTGACCCCCAATGTAAGGAGCATTCTCCTCACTGACCCCCAATGGAAGGAGCATTCTTCTCACTGACCCCCAATGTAAGGAGCATTCTCCTCACTGACCCCCAATGGAAGGAGCATTCTTCTCACTGACCCCCAATGTAAGGAGCATTCTCCTCACTGACCCCCAATGGAAGGAGCATTCTTCTCACTGACCCCCAATGTAAGGAGCATTCTCCTCACTGACCCCCAATGGAAGGAGCATTCTTCTCACTGACCCCCAATGTAAGGAGCATTCTCCTCACTGACCCCCAATGGAAGGAGCATTCTTCTCACTGACCCCCAATGTAAGGAGCATTCTCCTCACTGACCCCCAATGGAAGGAGCATTCTTCTCACTGACCCCCAATGTAAGGAGCATTCTCCTCACTGACCCCCAATGGAAGGAGCATTCTTCTCACTGACCCCCAATGTAAGGAGCATTCTCCTCACTGACCCCCAATGGAAGGAGCATTCTTCTCACTGACCCCCAATGTAAGGAGCATTCTCCTCACTGACCCCCAATGGAAGGAGCATTCTTCTCACTGACCCCCAATGTAAGGAGCATTCTCCTCACTGACCCCCAATGGAAGGAGCATTCTTCTCACTGACCCCCAATGTAAGGAGCATTCTCCTCACTGACCCCCAATGGAAGGAGCATTCTTCTCACTGACCCCCAATGTAAGGAGCATTCTCCTCACTGACCCCCAATGGAAGGAGCATTCTTCTCACTGACCCCCAATGTAAGGAGCATTCTCCTCACTGACCCCCAATGGAAGGAGCATTCTTCTCACTGACCCCCAATGTAAGGAGCATTCTCCTCACTGACCCCCAATGGAAGGAGCATTCTTCTCACTGACCCCCAATGTAAGGAGCATTCTCCTCACTGACCCCCAATGGAAGGAGCATTCTTCTCACTGACCCCCAATGTAAGGAGCATTCTCCTCACTGACCCCCAATGGAAGGAGCATTCTTCTCACTGACCCCCAATGTAAGGAGCATTCTCCTCACTGACCCCCAATGGAAGGAGCATTCTTCTCACTGACCCCCAATGTAAGGAGCATTCTCCTCACTGACCCCCAATGGAAGGAGCATTCTTCTCACTGACCCCCAATGTAAGGAGCATTCTCCTCACTGACCCCCAATGGAAGGAGCATTCTTCTCACTGACCCCCAATGTAAGGAGCATTCTCCTCACTGACCCCCAATGGAAGGAGCATTCTTCTCACTGACCCCCAATGTAAGGAGCATTCTCCTCACTGACCCCCAATGGAAGGAGCATTCTTCTCACTGACCCCCAATGTAAGGAGCATTCTCCTCACTGACCCCCAATGGAAGGAGCATTCTTCTCACTGACCCCCAATGTAAGGAGCATTCTCCTCACTGACCCCCAATGGAAGGAGCATTCTTCTCACTGACCCCCAATGTAAGGAGCATTCTCCTCACTGACCCCCAATGGAAGGAGCATTCTTCTCACTGACCCCCAATGTAAGGAGCATTCTCCTCACTGACCCCCAATGGAAGGAGCATTCTTCTCACTGACCCCCAATGTAAGGAGCATTCTCCTCACTGACCCCCAATGGAAGGAGCATTCTTCTCACTGACCCCCAATGTAAGGAGCATTCTCCTCACTGACCCCCAATGGAAGGAGCATTCTTCTCACTGACCCCCAATGTAAGGAGCATTCTCCTCACTGACCCCCAATGGAAGGAGCATTCTTCTCACTGACCCCCAATGTAAGGAGCATTCTCCTCACTGACCCCCAATGGAAGGAGCATTCTTCTCACTGACCCCCAATGTAAGGAGCATTCTCCTCACTGACCCCCAATGGAAGGAGCATTCTTCTCACTGACCACCAATGTAAGGAGCATTCTTCACTGACCTTCGATATAAGGAAGCTGTTCATTGGTCATCAGTGTCAAGAAAATCTACAACTTGCACTCAGCATTTCTTTCTTATTTGTTTTATTTTATTATTACTTCTGAAAATAATGTTGTAATATAGAGCAGCCCGGGGGTGTCAAATACTGAAGTATCTCATATTCCTTATTCCTATTTATTCTCATGTCTGATCTTCGTGTTCCCTCCGATGTACCCTGAGCTGTACAGATAAGTATTAGCAGGGGTTCCCTGAGACCAGGAACTTATCTCCGGGGTTCCTCCTTGTTAAACAGGCTGAGAACGGCGGAGATAAACACTTTCTTGTTACTAGAATGTTCTGTGTTTCTTTGAGGGCCTGTTCACATGATATCAGGTCCTGATCAGGTGCGGATCTGCAGACTGATGCAGTGCGTTTTGGCCACGTTTTTGATGCGTTCCAGTAAAATAAATTTTTTGCTTTTGGGAGGCATTTTGAGTGCAGCAGCGTACGGATCCGGTCAGCAGACAAAATGGACGCCGTGAAGGCATTGTAGAGAAGGTGTGACCTCATGTTCTCCTCCTTTGTCTCCGGTCTCTGATTCTCCTCATGGTCTTCATGGTTTTTTTTTTCCAGGAAGAGGCCGGTGTCCCCAAACCTCCTGCATCATCCCCCGGGGATCTCATTCACCCCAATGATGTCCTCCGAGCCCTCAAAGCCTTCACCATGGAGTTCCACCAACCCAGGTCCGGTTGAGTCATAAGATTAATGAG